TAATTTATTTTCTTCCCTCTGCTGAAAGTAGAACTGAAAGAGCTCCTTCAACGGGACAGTTAATAACAACTTCATAATGAAAGTTCAAAATGGAAAGTTGTTGTTTTTAAAGACTTTCATACTAATCTGGGAAGTCACATACGTCCAAATCCAGCTGTCAGTCACTGATTTCAAAAAGTGCACATACTGTAGTAAAAGGTATGGCAGTGCAGTCAGGTTCATGAAATATTATTGAAAATAATGATAGCGTTCACTTTTAACAATTGCTGAAACAGAGTTAATTCAATCAAAGTCAATGGTCAAGTGCCCAACTAAAGGGAACATTAATCACTATAATGGTAACTGACTTTACCAACCTTCGTGCATGTATCATATGAAAGAAATAAAGCCAAACTGGTTTGCAATAAGTGAATAGGGAAATTCTGTTTTTCCAGTTGTTTAGTCATCCTCTGGTGAGATATTGATTAATTTATTGATTGATTAATATGCAACACATAATATGTAACAAGTATGCAAGTTTTGTTGTGGTCTTGCTGGGATGACACCAGCACCCTTTAACACATTAATGATGTAAAGGAAAAACAATATAAGGGTAAAACATATGAGTTTTTGAATTATATGATAACTGTGTAATTTATTTTCTTCCCTCTGCTGAAAGTAGAACTGAAAGAGCTCTTTCAATGGGACAGTTAATAACAACTTCATAATGAAAGTTCAAAACGGAAAGTTGTTGTTTTTAAAGACTTTCATACTAATCTGGGAAGTCACATACGTCCAAATCCAGCTGTCAGTCACTGATTTCAAAAAGTGCACATACTGTAGTAAAAGGTATGGCAGTGCAGTCAGGTTCATGAAATATTATTGAAAATAATGATAGCGTTCACTTTTAACAATTGCTGAAACAGAGTTAATTCAATCAAAGTCAATGGTCAAGTGCCCAACTAAATGGAACATTAATCACTATAATGGTAACTGACTTTACCAACCTTTGTGCATGTATCATGTGAAAGAAATAAAGCCAAACTGGTTTGCAATAAGTGAATAGGGAAATTCTGTTTTTGCAGTTGTTTAGTCATCCTCTGGTGAGATATTGATTAATTTATTGATTGCTCTCCAGTTCTAATGAGGGAACACAGACAAGTGACTTTAGAAAGCACTTCACCCTCCAAGCCATTCTCACTGGATTCTGTGACAATATCATTCATGTTGCAACGTTGCTTTAGCTGAAGAAAAAAATAACTTACTTGTATGAAACCAGAAAGGGTCACAGCAACATCTCCACTGATATTTAACGTTGACACTTTTTCCAGCGGTATACGATGCTTGAATGTGTACAGCTCTTTACCATTCGCATAAACCTGATGAACCAAAGCAACACAACCCGTGTGAGGACAAGGTCCTAGCTCCCTTTTAGCAGTGTGGTGAGTCTCGTTCTCAAAACATGTACCTTATATCCTTCAGATTTGATGACAGTGAACATCTCAAAAGCTTCTCCCTTTTTAAAGGGGTTGTCAGAGATACTTTCCTTAGCCTCCCATCCTCCGTTCCTGAAGCTGTTCATGACCACCTTCCGGTCCATTCGAGGGTTGAAGTGGAAAGCAATGTCATCATTGTCAGATGGCCCAGTCTTGAAATTTAGTTCAAATCTGCATGGAAGATGAAACATTTTAAATCAACCAAATCCAAACAACAATTGTTAAATAAAATTAACAATTTGTTTTGACCAAATTGCCCAACAAAACAATTCCTTACCGGTCAGCATTAGCAGGAACAACTCCCTGCAAGTACAAGGCCATGCCTTCTCTCAGTCCTCCTGAAATTGGGGCCAGATAAGGAAGGTTCTGCAGTAAACACAAGAAAATAAGCATCAGCATATATTAACCAGATTCTTATGGCAAGCTTTGAACTTCTGATTTTTACAATTTAACCCTCTGGTTTTGTTCGGTCATGTTAGACCAGAAAAAAAAAAATGTTTCGAATTTTTAAAAATAGCTACTTCATTGGAATGGTATGAAACTTGGTGACTTTTATGTCAGTCACTATGTGACCACAAAAAAAAATTTTTTTGTGTGTGTGTGTCACACACACATATATGAACTAGTGTGACTGTAACACAAAGCATGTTTCTGCAAATGCATTAAATAAAATCAATAATTCAGCCAAAAATGCAGTCAAAACACAGACACCAAGGAAGGGGCTACACACTAAAATATTAAGAGTACAAAACAGACACACACACTCACTTACACACACTCACAGACACACACACACAACACACTATTATACACACACAAATGTACTGGTGTGGCTGTAACAATATGGCAAAATTGAGCCAGAAGACTCAAATAAGAGGTTGAAATCAGATTGATTAATCTCTGATAAAGCATTCATGTTAATTTTTGTTACATTTTTGTTGAATTTTGATGTTATGTGTAACAAAATGCTTTTTTCTGTGTTCAGGTTTGACTGCAAAATTAATGCAAAAACTAACATTTCAAACCAAAAAAAAAAAAAAAAATTCTAAACCTTCACAAAAAGTTATCTTTGAGAACGTCTAAATATATATTCAGATCCACAACTTAATAAAAATAAGTATTTATGCCTAAAAACCACTAGAGAGTTTATAAGCCTTTTATATAGAGCTATATAGGAATCTAGTGGCTAAACCATGGAATTTCAGATGTTTTGCTTTTTTTCTCCGACCAGATGGAACTAATCTGACTTCAAAAATCGGATTTTAAAGGCATTGTCTCTATTTTAACATGAAATACTGTCATAATTAAAAAGTAATATTCAAATCTTAATTTCATAATTATTACATAAATATTAATTTGTAACATTAAATTCTCTCAAAATACAAAATAAAAAAGAAATAATAATATGGAAAAAAAAATATTACATTACTGAAAAAAAAAAAATATATATATATTTCGGGTGTTCGGTCAGTTTTGACCTCGAACAACACAAGTGTGACCCCCAAATGAACAATACCAGAGGGTTAAAAGGGGCATCATAAATGATGAAACATTTTTCATACACTGCAGTTTCTTTTAGTGCTTGCACTTTGTTGTGTTCTGAATCCCTGGAAAGTGTCTGTTACTCACAGGATTTTGAACCGGGTTGCTCAATGAAAGTCCCATCTGTGTTTGAATAGCTGAGCTTCCATCTAGCACAGATGAATGTTCTCCAAAAGTGATCGTCCCATTCTGCGAGTGGAGCATACTTGCGCTCTGCCCAAAGACAGAAGATCCAGCCCAGCTCTGTAAAAGCAAAATGGTAGGAGTTGAATAACACAATTATTTATATAACGTCTACCAGACATTCATTTATTAACAACTCAACAAAAAATGATTTTCTTCCTTAGTATTTTTGTCTTGTTTTCTAGTATAAATAACTAAGAATTCTTGAATCAGGATGCATTTACTTGACAAGTAAAATGACTTGTCTTGTTTTCTGAAAACATTATTCAAATTTTGTTAGTTTTTGCTTAAAACAAGTAAACATATCTGCCAATGGAGTTAGGGTTAGGGTTTTATTTTATTTTTTATTTTCATTTTACTTGTCAAGTAAATGCATCCTAATTCAAGAATTTGTTGATATGTATACTAGAAAACAAGACAAAAAATACTAAGGAAGAATATCATTTTTTGCAGCGTTTATGCAGTCTGAAAATATATGTAAAAGAGGTTTATCGCTCACCTCGGTGAAAGCCACGTTTGTCACAGAAACCTCTCCTCCAACGCTCAGAGCGATGACTCGATCCAGAGATATACGATGCTGGAATCGGCCAACTTCACTTCCATTCAAATACACCTTCAGATTGAAAATTACTATAGTTAGGTATCTCTTCTAATGTTTTTGCCTTCGCACGATGCACCCAATGAATAGGACCAAGCATCAAAACACACCTGATAATTTTCAGAATTCACGGCAATGATCAGATCAAAGCCGCTGGCCTGCTTTAAAGGTAATTCCAGTTTCTCCTCTTTTCCCCATGACCCATGTTGGCGGCTGTTCAGCACCATGCGGTCGCTGCTGAACTGGGGCTTGATTTGAAAGGCGATGTCATCTCCTTCAGACTCTCCACACTTCAGATTCACCACAAAGCTGCAATGATCAAAGACAACGTGAAGGAGTGAACTAGTTACTCGAACACACTCAGTCATGAACAGAGAGAGTCACCTCTCACATCCAGACGGAACAGATCCCTGAATGAAGATGGCTTTCCCAGCTTTTAGTCCTCCAGAGATACGGCTCACATAAGGGATGCTCTGCATAGTAAATAAAGCATTCTGTATTCCTGTGTTATGGTAAGGTTTACAGCTGACTTGAATACAACTATCTCGAAAATGCACAAGTTAATTCAGAAAGGCTAATATGAAAGATTAGAGGACTGAAAGATCACTCACGAAGCTGGAGATGGTCTCGAACGCTGACTTGAAAGTGAAGCTCATGTTGTCGGTCTAAAAGGCTGATGCACAGGTGGATTATAGGTTGCAGGTGGTGGTCTTGGTTTTATACTTTCGGTGGGAAGGAGTGGTCTAGCCTTCAGGGGGTTTTAGCCACAAGGCATTTTTAAAAAGTGTAGAGTTCATTTTGGCTTAGCAACCCAAAGGCGATGTTTCAAGCGATGATGGACTGGATAATTTGCGTTCTCACAACAGTTTTGCCCAAAGCCACATTGTGCATCAGTGCTCAAAGCTTAGAAGCATTTTACAGTTCATCTGAGTCGACATTTCTGCATGATTATTGGACTTCATAACAATTAACCTCATAGTCACCTGCTGTCAGAGTTTTACTTACAAGCATGCCTGCAATCACAGTTAGCTGTAGTTACTTTATTATTATTTCTTTTGGTGTAATGTTTTTGTTAAATTGGAAAATAGCTAAAAGCAGTCAAAA